TTTTAGACATTGCAGAAACCAGTTCAGGGGCCCATGTCTTATTGGAAGAATGTGTGGCAAGTGTGACATAAACAGTTTAGTGACTTAGTGTTCAGACTCATAATCATGCAAGATTGCATCTCATACCCCTCCACATGGCCACCATTTCTTTGCACACAGAGATGGACTCATCTCTCCATGTCATGCAGCTCTTTTAGTCATCTGTGGGTTTTGGGTGGAGCCCTAGCCTGTTGGAGATTTATTCTCGATGTGTTGTGGAGGGGTGGTGAACACTTTGTTCTTGAGATAGCCCAAAAGGAAATAGTTGCAACAAGTCAGGTCAGGAGATCTTCCAATATCACTAGGGCCATGCATTTTGCAATATCTAAAACTTGGTCCAAAAATGACAAAAACTACCCACTGTAAAAAAGGAATGATTATTCAGCCAACATATCATTGAAAAGAGGAGAAACATGGCTTCATGATATACAGGAAATAAAATTGATGTAGTCATCGTTGGTTTTGTGGTTTTACAATTTATTTGCTTGTTGCGTTTTTCTTATAGGCACTGTATATAAGCAAAACATGCAGAAATCTAAACCCAGACATAGGAGAGAGTCTAAGCAAAAGGGTTTGCCATTTCAAAGTGCCTAGACATTTTTACCTTGTTTTCATTTATTAATTTATATATAAGACACCTGGCCCTGGGGAATAATTTGTAGCATGACACACTGTCTTATTACATTATGGCTATAGTAGGTGGCCATTTTGAAAAATGGCAGCTATTTTTATATTTGTTATTTTAAGTTTACATTGTATGGATAAGTATAACTGGAAATGTAGTGTCCTAATTTTCTTAATTTCATAATTATCACTATCTACATGCATCTCAAATTATAATACAATGTTGGGATTACAATCAGGGAGTTGGAAGATCTTTTTTGTTGGTAAAGCGCCTGAGTCTGACATTATTTCAAGAAATATCAAGAATTTATTTTTAACTGAAAAATTGCTTATCTCAGGCAACCCCAGGCAATGGCCGAATCTATCATCCTTCTGCAGGAATTTTATTGGAAGCCAGTTCTGATTCTGAAGTCCAATATAGTACTCTAAAAGATCGTTTTTCTATTACAACTTTTTACAAAAATGCTTCTAATAAGTATATGAGATTCTCTGAATACAAATAAAAACATTTACTGTATCAAAACGCATCTTCGCTTTGTTTTATTTTTAAAGAATATTTTTAATGTCATGGTGAAGTGCTAGAGCAATTGGGCTGATATTTCTCGGTAAAATGTCATACCTGAACTCTTTATCAAAATAACATGGACTTTGTTAATAAATTCATTTTGCTTTCTTGCTGGTGATGGATTATTATATGGTGTTGGGTAATATAACATTTGTTAATTCAGTATTGACATATTGATTTATTGATCATGTTTTTTGTAGCTGGTATGGCCAATGACATGTATGGGATAGGAGGTAATTAACACAACTAATAAATTATTAGTTATAATAATTATATAATGTATAATAATTATTATTGAATTAAATTCAATAATAACATAGCATACCCTATACTTTTTAATAATTTATAATTTAATACTGTCTTTTATAATAATTATTGGAAATATCAACTTAAAAAACAACATTTTACTCGTTGAAGACATTTTAATTATATCACTTACTGAAAATTAGATTTGATTTCTTTAATTCATTCAAAAAGGAGGTTAAGTCAAACCAACTGTTGACAATACACTTTTTATCGCACTTTGAAAAAGTGCTATATTGTCGTCGTCTTGTGCTGTTGGGCGGGTGGGCGGGACATAAACCAAATCTTGTCATCAAATTTCCAGGATAACTGCTTACCTGTTCAACTTGAAATTTTTACAGATGCAAGAGCAGACTAGTACCAAGATCTGATTAGGTTAAGGGCATGCTGGGTAAACTATGTGGCGGCCATTTTGAATTTTTCAACAAATCTTGTCATCAAAATTCCAGGAAAACCACTTATCCGTTCAACTTGAAATTTTTACAGATGCAAGAGCAGACTATTGCCAAGATCTGATTAGGTTTTGGGTATGCTGGCTGAATTACATGGTGGCCATTTTGAATTTTTTAATTTGGCGGCCATTTTGAATTTTTCAACTTTCTCCAAATTGACCAAATTTTTTTTTTAAAAACATCTACAAGTTCTCAAAAGTTCAAATCTGACCTTAGATTTCAGATTTGACCTTTCATTCACCTTCAGTGACCTTGAAAAGGTAAAAAAGTTGATTTTCTAAATTGATATTTTGGATTTAAATTTAGGTCAGCTTAATTACAAAACACCTACTGAGGTCTGAAAAAGTGAAATTTTCAAGGTCGAAGGTCAAGGTCATTAAACTAGGTCACAAATGATGTTATCCAAGTTTCTCAAAGTTTGAGACTACAAATCAATTCTTGTCATCAAAATTCCAAGAAAACCGCTAACCTGTTCAACTTGAAATTTTTACACATGCAATAACAGACTAGTGCCAAGATCTGATTAGGTTTAGGGCATGCTGGGTAAACTACGTTGCGGCCATCTTGAATTTTTCAACAAATCTTGCCATCAAAATTCCAGGAAAACCACTTATCCGTTCAACTTGAAATTTTTACAGATGCAAGAGCAGACTATTGCCAAGATCTGATTAGGTTTTGGGTATGCTGGCTGAATTACATGGTGGCCATTTTGAATTTTTCAATTTGGCGGCCATTTTGAATTTTTCAACTTGCTCCAAATTGACCAATTTTTTTTAAAAAAAACATCTACAAGTTCTCAGAAGTTCAAATCTGACCTTAGATTTCAGATTTGACCTTTCGTTCACCTTCAGTGGCCTTGAAAAGGTCAAAAAGTTGATTTTCTAAATTGATATTTTGGATTTAAATTTAGTTCAGCTTAATTACAAAACACCTACTGAGGTCTGAAAAAGTTAAATTTTCAAGGTCGAATGTCATCAAATTAGGTCACAAACAATGTTATCTAAATTTTCCCAAAGTTCAAGACTACAAATAAATTCTTGTCATCAAAATTGCAGGAAAACCGCTAACCTTGTCAACTTGAAATGTTTACAGATTCAAGAGCAGACTAGTGCCAAGGTCTGATTAGGTTTTGGCCATGCTGGGTGAATTGCATGGTGGCCAGTTTGCTCTTCAAAGTGCGATATTTATCACTGTGTGTCTTGTTCTGTATTTGCTTGTAAACCTATCTACTTAGTAATCCATGTTTGTATCCCCTCAATTTTATTGTCATTTTGTAAAGTTCTGCAGCTGCCTCTTTAATCTATCAATTGACTAGAATTCTGGCTGTATTTAATTCTGATATTTGATCTTGATCAATCAGGCTTTCAAAATCAGAATAGATCATACATATATGTAATTATATATGCTACTATAATCATACTGAATGGAATTATATAATGATTGCCTGAACATGAAAAATGAGACACAATTCAGACACAATAAAATGATCTAGACATGTCAAGTAAAGGTGGATGCATATTGAAGCCTGTTGCCTTTTAAATTATATCTTTCTATTATCCATCTTCATATTGATCATTTAAAATGGTTTTAAATAAAATTGATTTGGTTGATCCTTAAAGTAGTACTAATACATAATTCGGTTTATGTGATAATAAAGACTTGGAAATTATATTTTATGTTCCAACATATGACTGTATGATGCATATGATTAATGAAGTGATTATCTAAGAATAATATCAGTCCAATTGTGCCAAGATATATAATCATGCACTCTTTGATGCCATGTGCCATAAATCCACGTGGTACAGACACACTAATGTTTTACAGGTTCACAACATGTCAATAATTGGTTAGAATCAATAATACTACGTAACTATTTTCTCGTCAATAATTGGTTAGAATCAATAGTATTACATAAATATTTTCTCGTTAGTGAGTTGTCAATTTTGGTACATGCTTTAATTGTAAAATCACAATATTACTTAAATGTGTAATGTCATTTTTGTAACCAAGTTGATATCTCCCCCTAGTGTGTATTTCATCATAACAATGTCACCACCGACTAATGTGACATGTTGTTAAAGCCACCATTTTGTGTGTATTTCATCATAACAATGTCACCACCAATTAATGTGACATGTTGTTAAAGCCACCATTTTGTGTGTATTTCATCATAACAATGTCACCACCGACTAATGTGACATGTTGTTAAAGCCACAATTGTGTGTGTATTTCATCATAACAATGTCACCACAGACTAATGTGACATGTTGTTAAAGCCACCATTTTGTGTGTATTTCATCATAACAATGTCACCACCGACTTATGTGACATGTTGTTAAACCCACCATTTTGTGTGTGTTTCATCATAACAATGTCACCACCAATTAATGTGACATGTTGTTAAAGCCACCATTTTGTGTGTATTTCATCATAACAATGTCACCACCGACTAATGTGACATGTTGTTAAAGCCACCATTTTGTGTGTATTTCATCATAACAATGTCACCACCAATTAATGTGACATGTTGTTAAAGCCACCATTTTGTGTGTATTTCATCATAACAATGTCACCACCGACTAATGTGACATGTTGTTAAAGCCACCATTTTGTGTGTATTTCATCATAACAATGTCACCACCGACTAATGTGACATGTTGTTAAAGCCACAATTTTGTGTATATTTCATCATAATAATGTCACCACCGACTAATGTGACATGTTGTTAAAGCCACAATTTTGTGTGTATTTCATCATAACAATGTCACCACCAATTAATGTGACATGTTGTTAAAGCCATAATTTTGTGTGTATTTCATCATAACAATGTCACCACAGACTAATGTGACATGTTGTTAAAGCCACCATTTTGTGTGTCATTTAGCATTTTTGGTCAGTGGCTGTAACAAATTGTTACACTTTTTGCAATAACTTACCAGGTTGTAACATGTTGACTTGTTAATGCCTTGTACATGGTTATCATATTGTGATAATTGACTTTTCTTGGCTTCCAGGTGGAGTGTATGTACCTCAACAGCAACAACAGCCTGGCATCCAGCAAGGTATGTACGGAATGCCGCAACAGCAACAACAGCAGTACGCCATGCAGAATGGTATGATGGCTAACCAAGGTATGATGCAGCAGCCTCAAGTCAGTCAAGGCATGATGCAGCAGCCCCAAGTCAGCCAAGGCATGATGCAGGGCCAGGGTAACATGATGATGGCAAACAACATGCAGGCCATGCAGGTAAACAAAAAATAGACTGTTTCGAAAATTATGTCCATCTTATATTTCTATCATTCTCCTTACTAACTAACTTGGTAACATCTGAAATTTAAGAAACATCACAGATTCGGCAAAATATATATTTTGACGTTTAAGGACTTGTCTGATGATGGTGGCTACTACTGGATGGTTGATTGGCTTCCTCTGTGAATTATAGTTATAAATTAAACTAAAAATTATAAAGGAAAACATGGCTATTTGGTACATTTTTCTATATACAAGTATTCATCATATCAAGCTAAATTCTCTTTTCAAACTGTCTTTGAGGACCTATAGTGACTAAATAGTATTTGTAAGATCGAATTAATTAATTTATTGCAGCAGCAGAACATGATGCAGAATAACATGGCTCATCAAAATATGATGGGGGTAGGTCAACAACAAATGGGGCAACAAAATATGGGACTGCAAAATATGGGACAGCAGCAAATGGGTGGAGGAATGATGCAAAATAATATGTACAATATGCCCCAACAGAATCAGCAACAGAATTTCCAACAGGTAGGAAACTATTACGGGTTTCATGATGATTCTATTTACATGTACACATGAATGGAATAGAAACCTGTGGCCGCCATTTATGTCAACGGTATCTGACTTTACCATTGTCATAGTGTTCCGATGTGATGTATATTAGTGTGAGTCAGGAGTCAGTAAACTCTTAGTGTAGAAGTCAATATTGAGATTGAGCGTTCATTGTCCTGGTATTCTTATATTAATATGATGAATTTTGTTATTTTTGTGATTAGTTGCTAATTGCTTAAATGCTGTATTAGAGTTCCTGTTGCGCAATGCGTAAGATTGAACTAAATGGTTTAGCATGATAGTGTAGTATAAACTATAAAGTCAATAAGACAATGGGTGAGAGGATCAATGACAAAGTATAATTTCAACAGACTTACTGTATATTAGAGTAGTATAATTATTTTATACAGCTTATATCATTGACATATGCAGGAGTTGACTGTTGAATTTATAATCCTAACATTGTAATCTGAGACTGCTTCACAATGGTGAGATATCATTTCCTGAATCAAGTGAATGTAGATATTTATAATTTCAGGCAACTTGGTTAACCTGAAAACCTCTGTGTCATAATGTTATGTGATTATCATGAAAATAAAGATTGTAGCACTAATATTTTGCATTTAACCAAAGACCTATTAATAGAATAATCATTTGACGTTTATTTAAAAAATAGACTGGATGTTGTTCAATGAAGTATAACGAGTGAATGTTGTTTTGTTGTGGGAGTGATTAACCGCAGAAAGGAAGTACCTGATTTGTGGTTAGTTGACGAAATGCGGGTAGAATATACGGTATCATTTAACCACAATAAAGACACTGTGATGATTAAATACGATGTTTTCATACTTATTAAATGCACATCACAAATTAACTATTGATTTTTTTTTTTTCAGGTCCAGAACCAGATGGCATCTATGAAGCTAGGTGGAGGTGTAGGGGGATACACACAACAACAGCCAGGCATGGTTGGGGGCCCAACAGGGGCCAGTTGGGGAGGGGCTCCCCAGGGACAAACTCTATCAACCAATTTATGGCAATGATGACATTAAACATAGGATTCATGTGATAGTCAAAGGTGATGGAATTGATGAAGAGGAAATTATCCCAGTATTAGATGATGCGATAATCAATGGAATAACTGAATAAAAGATGACAATTTGAACCAAATTTTATTATGAAGTAATTATAACATAATTGCAAATAAAAACATTCATGGATAAGTAGTTTGAAAATGATCATTGTTTTGGAAGTTTTACTGTTTTATAGCTCAACCTTTCCTCTGTTGTGAAAAATTTTAGAATTTTTAGAATGTTAATCGGGGATTAATTCTATTTAAAGCTCAAATGTCAACAGTGTGATAGAAGTCAATGATTTGAGAGATAGAAGGATGTATTCCATGTAAATAATAAGTCTTAAAATGGAAAAGGTATATATATCACTATTTGTCACATAATAAGTAATATTTTGGAGTGGGTAAAAGTTGTTTCCTGAAAATAACAATTACAGTTGTCTCTGGGGGAGGGTTAAGGTGTGAATCTAAAAGTAATTACTTATTACTCATGTTTAATGACAGTATTGAAATATAGACCTAATCCCTAAGGACATATTTAAACCTCGCACAAGCTTATTTGTAAATTAGTAGAGTATTGAATATACAACCCCTGGGTAGACATTGAGAAAAAACTTACTTTTAAATTATGTATCCGTCTGTCTGTATGGATGTATGTCACATAGATCAAGGCCTTAGTTATCCCACTAAAGGAAGTTTGTAGGGATATATAGAAGCTGTCCCTCCGTTTGGCTGTCTGTCCTTTTGTTCATGTGTCCGGGTGATCAAATACCAGTTGATGGATTTGGTTAAAATTTTGCTCAATTCAAAATTGATAACTCAAATACCAGTTGATAGAACTTTATATGCTGATGTCTGAATTTCAAAAGCTAATGCATTAGGGACATAGGACTCTGCTCAAGAAGGAATTTTTAAGATGGCTGCCCAGTTCAAAATGGCTGCCATTTTTCAAGAAAAAAGTAATTATTAATTACTTAAATATGGGTGATTGGATTTGGTCCTTATAGGCTAATATCCTATGGGCAGAGGATCTCTGCTCAAGAAAGAGTTTCCAATATGACCGCTAATTTCAAAATGGTCACAATTTTTTGTTAAAAAATGTAATGTTTGCTAACCAAAAAACAGTTGACAGATTTAGATCAAATTTTATATGCTTGTGCCTTGTGGACATAGAAATCTGTCCAAGGAAGAGTTTCCAATATGGCCATCTTTATTTTTTTTATAACTAAATGGTGGGATTTGCTACTCTGCTGAGTAGTTTGCACATTTTAAGTATTGAAACAAGGGTTGCAGGGAATGATTCTCAATATAATTGGCATGGTAATCAAAGCAATCTTAAGCCATGGTTTCTTTGTTCTCTTTGTTTCAGCTGGTGCATGAAAGGTCCAACTGAAATATAGGTGAAATTATCAACCCACACAGAGTGCATTCACATAAAAATCATCTTATTTCTTGTAGAGCACGATTAAAATTTATGAACCATCTGTGGGTGGTTTTTAATTCAAAAATTAAACAAAATCTACATGAAATGTGAAATAACACATTACAGCAGGCAATTTACCATATAGTATGCCTGTATAGTAAGTCCCTGCACATTCTAACCCAGTAAATGTCACTGAAAGTGTGTGTACTCTTCTAGAGGTATTAATTTAATTGTACTTTTGCATTAAGTCTCTGGCCTCTCACTGAGCTTTACAGAGTGGGGGACATAGGGCTTCATGTAGAGCTATTATAAATGTATTAATGTGATATGATTTTTTGTAAAATCTCTCATCTTGTATTCTACTGCAAACTAAAAAACTTCTTGCTTCAAACAAATTTATAGATTTTTAATATTTGTTAATGGTGTGGTAAATAGTCGTAGAGCCAGGCCTCTGCAGGTAATTTGAGTCTCAGCAAATAGCTGTATATAGATAAAACCATACAATCATTATAGTGCATCAGTATTTACTGGTCAAACGTGGACTATTGATGTGATGATATCTTGATATACATTTTGAAATGATCCACTGGTCAAGTGATATAATATCCACTTTTCACTGATCAATGACTAACCCAGTTATTATATGATTGCAATGAGTTATTGAGATTCCCACTATTGGCCACTAAATGTTAAATGTTTATCGTATGTACAATTGTTTTTGGTCACTAGGGTGTCAGGTTTGAGACCTGTCAGCCAACCAAATTTTTCTTAATGGTTATATTTGTTTTTCATTCCATATTCTAAAGAATAATGAAATAGTAAAAACTGAATGTGAGTTTTGAAAATAAGTTTGCAATTGTTTCTCTTGAAAGTATTTCATATTATCAAATAGGATATCATATTAGAAATCGAAATGGTAGATATGGTTAATTCTTCCTTCTTGAAATCTTTTTTCCCACCCTGGTGACCTGAAACATATCTATATTTTCATGGCTTAACATATGATGTTTCAACCTTTTTCTTGAAGACATGCTTTCCTGACCTTTCTTTGTCAAACATTCATAATTTGAGCCTGGCCATGGGAAAACCGGTCTAATCACAAAAATTAAAATTGTGCTACAGAGCCAAAAATGTGGCTATGATTAAGAGGAAAATATGCTAAATTCAGATCTGATTTTTTGGTCTATATATGCAAGGAAAAATTGTTAGGACATAAGCCATAGCTCATTTGAAAGGTTTCTTTGTGCTATTTAAGATAAACAAAAAATCAGAATATTGAAAAAATCTGTGATAAGACCCCCTTTCCTGTGGCCTGGCTCATTTATTAAGGTAGGCTCAATAGAATGAGTTATCTGGTCAATATCTTGCATGTTGAGGTCATGAGCAGATATGTTCAAAATTTGTTCCTCTAGGTCCACCTTAAGCCAAATATGACATGAGGAAAATGTGTGAATACTGAATAGAGTTGAAATATTGTACAATATGTTTCAAAATTTTTACAATTTCTCTACTGATTTGTAATAATGTGAATGAAGCGTAAAGTGTACTTTTTATAACAAACTATTCCATTGCTTGACAGAAATATATGAAAATACAGCCAGTTGTATAATGCTTTTTTGAGCAGTGAGAACTGTGACATAAAGGGAATGTATTTTTAGAATTTTTAAAAAAGCATTATACATTGGTGTATTATGTATAGTTGTACATATTGTAATTTGTATATATGTAATTGTATGCTGAAAGACAAGTGTGCAATATCTTACATTGTGTCTATACAGATGTACAGAATAATCCAAACCTTTCAGAATGTGTAGTTATGATTTACTGTCATCTCATATGTTTTACATTTAAGTTCTACTGATATTTCATAAATAGTACATCTAGGTCTATCAGTGGTAATGGCTAACATGAGTAAAAATCGTTTTTTGAGCTTACTATTAAAAAATCACTTTAACAAAAATGTTTTGTTAAAGTGATTGGGTCGTCTCACAGCTCACAAGATTTCATGTAGAACTTAGAGTAGAACTTTTGAAATGACCCATGGTAATTTAACGAAACATGATTTTCATCATTCAACCTCTACAATGTCTCGAAGTATATTGAGTTGAAATAGGAAGTAGACTTACAGACTGAGCCGTCATTTTAATTTTGTAACTCAGTTTATCAATTTTAGTAATAGAACAAATTAGATATGATTAGGTGATAATACATTTACAGATTATAATTATATTTTATTAATATCAGTTCATATCAGATTATTCTGAAACAAATAATATGAATGCAGGGATTATAACATGTTAATTTTTTGTTATTAGGTTACAAGAAATAGAACTTATGTTAGCTTTTTTCAAACACTACTATACTGTAGTGCTTGCATTGTCAGAGGTTATATTTAATAAATTAAAGGGACAACGAGTCTGTACATAAAAACTCCATCTCATTCTGTCATAAGTGGAATCATAGAACAAAATATTTTCATATTTGGCTGGAATGGAACGAAAGAAAATAATAACTTTCTGAAAGGTACATTTTGATTCTATTTTATTTTTGAAGGATATATGTCATAGAAGAAATAATTTCTTCACTAAGTTTTCAAATTCAGAATGTATTCTGTCAGTAACCTGTCCTGTTAGAAAATCTTTTGAGCTCTTCCTGTCACATCTCTAGATCCTAAAGTACATTATTGGTTTGACAGTTTATTGAAAGATGGCAGTAGGTTAGCTAATATGACCTTCACTTTTACAGTTGTTTTTTAATATTTCATTTTATAACTTGCCTCATATTAATGAAACCAGGTAAAAATAGAATAATTCATTTTATTTATCAAATTGAGTGTTTTCAAGGTTCCATAACAGCTTCTTAAGCTGATTTTCAGGGGATGTCAAGTTTATTCATAACATAACACACACTGTGTAAACACATGCTTGGTCAACTGTGGGAGTAAATGTCACCTTGATCACATTATATACTGCCACAATTCCATGACTTGCTAATAACCTGATGTTATAAACATGAATCTATAGATCACATTTTAGGGCTGTGGTTCATTCAGTTCTTCATATGTGATCACTTGCCAACACTTTTTGACCTTTTTGTAACAAGACAGGTTCAGCTCATTTTCAAATACTTTCACATGATAAAAACTCCATTCAGTCATAAAATGTGACTCTTATGTATCAAAAAATTTTATAGTCAAGTTTTGTTTTCTTATCATATCGTTTTACTTAACCTTAGTGTTAAGGTGACATTGCGCCATCGTACAGCACACAAACTCTGACTTAAAATTTTCATGTGACTCAATTGTCACATTATTCATGATATTTCAATTATGCAATATCAAGGCAGATTACTGTAAAAGTGACTTCATGTACATAATTTTCAGTGTTGCTTAAGATTAGTAAACCAACGCATTGTATCTGTCCTATTATCTTATGAACATTTTCCCAACTGTAGAGTTCAAAGGAAAAGAATGCTGCAAAAACTTAATGTCAGCAATTGTTTGCAAAGTTCAAAACGTTCATAATAAAGGTTGAAGCAACTGTCAAATATTATAAGTTATGAGATTAACTGGGTCGCATTGTAACAGTTTAGCCTAAAAGGTTTTTGTTTTGTAGTCTTGGGACTATACAATAGACTAGATGCGAGTAGAAATGATCTTGATTTACGTCATTAAATATATACACTGTATCTAAAAATATGGTTTCGAAAATTGTTTATCAACTTTGAAAATTTGATATTTTTTGAAAATGTGACTTCTAGTTCGAGTTGATTCCACATAGACCCCATATTACAAAATCACAAAAAGTGAAATATCTTTTTTTGTATTGGACATATAACATTTTCTTTTACTGGACATACTTTAATTTGCATAACTATTCGATACATAAGGGCTATATGAACATTGAACCACTAAAACCTATGTAATTTAAGTTACATGGAACTTTCTACTATACCCGCCATGCTATCTGACCAGGGCGAGCCACCTGGTGGTTAAACTGGCAACTACCTACTCGCATTTGCGTTATTGCATTCTGATATTGCTCTTTCTGTTTTGCTATTAGCAATATGCTCTGATTTAGTTAGACTTAATCCCCAGTCTAATACATCACATGATGAGCATCATTGTCATTAAAATGAAAGTGTCTTGAATTATCTCAAAGGTTTTTCAAAAGAAAAGTAGTACAAGGCTGTAATGTCTCATGATGATAAGGAGATTTAATTGATCTCTACATGTATGTCTGATTTTCAGAGGACAACTGGTTTGTCATCTTTTAGCAGACTGTTCATGAATTGTAACTACCTCACATAAATATAGGGCTCAAATTAAGAAATTTGGGATGTTCAGACACAAATATCTTTGAATTGGTGCAGTAAAACAACTTTTGTAAGTTGAACTCCTCTCAAGTGGACCACTTTAAAGGTACCAATGATATTCCACATTCAGC